GTTAATTCGCCTGGTGAAGGACCCAACCATATGCAGCTGCGAGTACCGCAAGGATACCAGTCTCAAGCTCCCCCCGACTTTCGGTGGAGATCCCTATGGGGCCACGAAGCGTGTGAGGGGTGTGCCGAAATGGGTGTTGGGGAGTGCCGAAATGGGTGGTGGGGAAGCATGCGAACCCTGCCACTGGGGCCTTCGGTGGAGCTCCCTATGGGGCCACGAATCGTGTGAGGGGTGTGCCGAAATGGGTGGTGGGGAGGCATGCGAACCCTGCCACTGGGGCCTTCGGTGGAGCTCCCTATGGGGCCACGAAGCGTGTGAGGGGTGTGCCGAAATGGGTGGTGGGGAGGCATGCGAACCCTGCCACTGGGGCCTTCGGTGGAGCTCCCTATGGGGCCACGAAACGTGTGAGGGGTGTGCCGAAATGGGTGGTGGGGAGGCATGCGAACCCTGCCACTGGGGCCTTCGGTGGAGCTCCCTATGGGGCCACGAAACGTGTGAGGGGTGTGCCGAAATGGGTGGTGGGGAGGCATGCGAACCCTGCCACTGGGGCCTTCGGTGGAGCTCCCTATGGGGCCACGAAGCGTGTGAGGGGTGTGCCGAAATGGGTGGTGGGGAGGCATGCGAACCCTGCCACTGGGGCCTTCGGTGGAGCTCCCTATGGGGCCACGAAACGTGTGAGGGGTGTGCCGAAATGGGTGGTGGGGAGGCATGCGAACCCTGCCACTGGGCCTTCGGTGGAGCTCCTATGGGGCCACGAAATGTGAGTGGGCCGAAATGGGTGGTGGGGAGGCATGCGAACCCTGCCACTGGGGCCTTCGGTGGAGCTCCCTATGGGGCCACGAAACGTGTGAGGGGTGTGCCGAAATGGGTGGTGGGGAGGCATGCGAACCCTGCCACTGGGGCCTTCGGTGGAGCTCCCTATGGGGCCACGAAACGTGTGAGGGGTGTGCCGAGATGGGTGGTGGGGAGGCATGCGAACCCTGCCACTGGGGCCTTCGGTGGAGCTCCCTATGGGGCCACGAAGCGTGTGAGGGGTGTGCCGAAATGGGTGGTGGGGAGGCATGCGAACCCTGCCACTGGGGCCTTCGGTGGAGCTCCCTATGGGGCCACGAAACGTGTGAGGGGTGTGCCGTGGGTGGTGGGGAGGCATGCGAACCCTGCCACTGAGCTCCTAACGAAGCGTGTGATGTGCCGAAATGGGTGGTGGGGAGGCATGCGCCAACGACGTGTGCCGAACCCTGCCACTAAGGCCTTCGGTGGAGCTCCCTATGGGGCCACGAAACGTGTGAGGGGTGTGCCGAGATGGGTGGTGGGGAGGCATGCGAAACCTGCCTCTGGGGCCTTCGGTGGAGTTCCCTATGGGGCCACGAAGCGTGTGAGGGGTGTGCCGAAGGGAGGCATGCGAACCCTGCCACTGGGGCCTTCGGTGGAGCTCCCTATGTGGCCACGAAATGTGTGAGGGGTGTGCCGAGATGGGTGGTGGGGAGGCATGCGAACCCTGCCACTGGGGCCTTCGGTGGAGCTCCCTATGGGGCCACGAAACGTGTGAGGGGTGTGCCGAGATGGGTGGTTGGGAGGCATGCGAACCCTGCCACTGGGGCCTTCGGTGGGGCTCCCCATGGGGCCACGAAACGTGTGAGGGGTGTGCCGAAATGAGTGGTGGGGAGGCATGCGAGCCCTGGAGGGGGGAGGGCGGGGAGGAGAAGGAGGAGGAACGCGGGGCACCGTCTCTTCAAAACGAGGACCCAACACCACAGGACGGTTGGGGAAAAAACTCCCGCGCGAGCTCTTGCGAAATCTTAAGAAAACCAACTGTTTGTTTCCAAGATTTTTTTGCAACATGCTACCAAACGGGTTTCGCGCGCGCGCATGTCGAAATCTGTCGAACGCCCTTGCGCGTGTGCCGTCGCGAGAATCCTCTGCAAAACACGGGACGAAATGCAGACGCGCGCGTCGTCGCGGGCGTATGCCGAAAACCTTCAAAACCCATCGGTTTCGGAAGGATTTCAAAATCGTGCGTCCAAACAACCTACAAAAAACCAACGGCTTCGCAACACGGATTTTCAACAAAAACGTGCGCGCGCGCTCTTGCGTCGTCGTCGTCGTCGTCGTCGCCGTCCTCCCTCCTCCCGCGTCGTCGTCGTCACCTACGTCGTCCTCTTTCTTTTCTCGTGTTCGTCGTCGTCGTCCTCTTTGGCGTCGTGGCCGTTTCCGTCGTCGTTGTCGCCGTGGTCGTCCTTCCTCCTCCTCCCACGTCGTCATCGTCGTCGTCCGTCGTCGGCGTCTCGTCGTCGTCCCTCATATTTCGTCGCCGTCGTCGTCGTCGTTGTCGTCGTCGTCTTCCCTCCTCCCTCGTCGTTGTCATCGTCGGCGTCGCCGTCCTTCCTCCTTCGTCGTCGTTCGCGTCGTCGCCGTCCTCCCTCCTCCCTCGTCGTTGTCGTCGTTGTCGTCGTTGTCGCCGTCGTCGTCCTTCCTCCTCCCTCGTCGTCGCCTTCGTTGGCGTCGTCGTCGTCGTCTTCGTCGTCGTCGGGCGTCGTTGTCGTCGTCGAAGTCGTCGGAGACGTCGTCGGTGTCGTCCTAGTCGTTGTCGTCGGTGTCGTCGCAGTCGGTCTTAACAGGTTTTGCAAACCAAGTTGCGGGTGGGTGGGTGGGATGTTTGCGCGAGCAGTGGAGATGACGACTTCAAGTTCAGCAGAGTGGATTGCACTACCTAGGTTGCACCGTACGGATTCTCGTGTCAGAAGAGGATCGATTCTACCATCTTCTCCCTCCCAGGCTTATCGCTACCCCTGTGGGCACTGCACATATATTATTCTGCCGCGTCGCTCATTTTCCGTATGACCTCATACCATCCCAGCCAAGCTGGGTATCGCCCCCCTCATCCATGTCCAATAATTCTATGCGCGCGCACTCGTTTATCGCAAAAGATCCGCCACCGTGCCTTTGGGCACGGAGTGGGCGTGTTCTCAGGTCCTTTGCCTAATCCTCCCAGCCTCAGTCGTCACTCCTGATGGGTCTTTCAGGGGCCTCCAAACTGATAAATCTACTGGTGCTTGGCGTGGTTCCCCTGGGTTCCCCCGCATCTTGTCGGGTGACTTTTTGGGGCTCAAGCGGGCCCCAAAACGGACCAAGAGGGCTCCAAGAGGCCCCCAAAGACGGTCGGAGAGGGCCCCGAATAGCCGAACGGTCGCTTAAAGATGTTCAAGATTGCCCCCAGACGGCCCAAGAGGCCTCCAAGACACCCAAAGAGGCCTCCAAAAGCCCACCCAAGAGGGCTCCAAGAGGCGAACAAGATGTGTTGTTTTACGTGTTTGAAAATTTGTGCCGTCCTCGCCGTTTCGGCTTCGCCCCAAAACGGTCCAAAAGGCCTCCAGAAAGGTCCCAAACTGGCTCCAAGACGGCCCCCAATGCGCTCCAAACGTCCCAAGAGTGCCCCAAGACGGCCCCAAAGGGACCAAAGAGAAGGAACACGAATCGAAATTTCGAGCCTTCCGCACCAAGAGGCCCCCGCCAGGAGACCCCAAATGCCCCCCAAGATGCCCCAAGAGGCCCAAAAGAAACCACAATGGGTCCCAAAACGGCCCCCAAGAGTCCCCACAATGGCCCCTAAGATGCCTTTAAACTGCCTCCAACAGGCCCGGGGAAGCCTCCCACGAGATCGTAACGAACATCCAGTAGGCTTCACACCCACAACCCAGACACAGTTGCGGGATGGGCCGAAGGCTATTCTTATCCGCCGCCCCCTGTTGATTTATCACAGGGGTGCCTCGCGTGCTAAACTTCTCAAAGGCTTTAGCTCTTTTCAAGACTCCCACTGGGGCTTCGGCCGATACCGCCAGCCACCCAGAAAGTAGCTCCAGAGGTGGTTGCCAAGGTTTCTCCTGCTCCAGATGGCTCCAATATGGCCCACGATGGCCTCCAAGACGGTCAAGATGGCCCCAAATTCGCCCAAGATGGCCTCCAAGACGGCCCAAGAGAGTCCAAGATGCCTTCAAGCCCGTCCAGAAAACCTCCAAGACGACCCAAGAGGCCCCCAAGAGGGCTTTGAGAGGGCTCAAGAGGCCTCCAATAGGTCCTCCAGGAGGGCCCGAAGGAACTCAACCTTTTGCAGGATTTGGCCCTTTGACTTCTTTCGACCTTCCGACGGCCCAAGACGGCCCAAGATGCTCCTAAGATTGAGCCAAGATCGCCCAAGCCAGGACGGCCCAAGAGGCTCCCAAGGCGGCTCCCCAAGGGCCCCAAGACGGCCCAAGAGGCCTCCAAGACGCCCACGATGGCCGTCAAGGTGGCCCTGAAGCGCCCCAAGAGAGCGCCAAGACGGCCCAGAGAGGCTCCGAAGACGGCTTCTGACGGGGTCAGACGGGCTAGGGACGCAGTAAGACGGCCAAAGAGGCCTCCGAGAAGCCCCCAGGAAGCTCCCAGGCGGCCCAAAGGGTGGCCACAGAGGCTCCCAAGAGATCTTCTGATCTCCTTCTGATCATGTCTTTTTCCCTCCCTCTCCTCATCCCCCTCTATCTCCCCCTCGTGCTCCCCGCAGGATTTCCACAACGGCTGGGGGAACGCATGGTCAACGTTTGGCCACATAGGCGTATCCTAAAAGGCAGGGGGACGCGGTCATTCGCCGTAGGCGTATTCGATATGTCAATTATCCACTACAAAAACGGTGCCTGGCCCGCGAGGCTGCCGAGGCGGACATGTGTTTTGCCCACGAGCCGGGTGCCCCCCCCCAAACTAAGACGAAGGATACATCGGGAATCTTTGAGATCTGGCGGCTCTGGAAGATGTATCGATCGCGGCGCCTCCTCAGAGCGTCCCAGAACGCTCTCGGAGCGTTCCGGAACGCTCTGGAACAGACTTCTCTAGAAAAAGAAGAAGCCAAAACTTTTGGCGCTCCGCGCGGATTTCTTGGATCCGCGCTGGACCCGGAGCGCGCCAGGGGCGGCGCCGGAGGCGCCGCCGGGGGGGCCCAAGTGCGGACCCAAGGAATCCGCGCGGAGCGCCAAAAGTTTAAGTCTATGTGTTTTGTCTTCTTCGATCATCCTCGTCCTGGCCCCGTTCGACCTAACGTTGCCCCGGAGGCCGGCCGCTGCTCAGAGCTCGCCGCGCCCGAGGAGCTCCAGCAGGCGCGGGCCGGCCGCGTGGGCACCGTGGTGCTGCCGGGCCAGGTCGAGGGCTCGCTGGGACTCTCTGTTCCTGCGGCCCAGGGGAGGGCTCCTCCCGTTCCTGCTGCTCTTCCTGCTCCTCCTCCTCCTCCTCCTGCTCCTGCTCTTCTTCCTGCTCTCCTCCTTCTTCCTCCTCCTCCTCCTCCTCCTCCTCCTCCTCCTCCTCCTCCTCCCGCTCCCCTTCTCATCCTCGTCGTCGTCGTCGTCCTCCTCCTCCTCCTCCTCCTCCTCCTCCTCCTCCCTCCTTCTCGTCCTCCAATTACCTTCCCCTGCTCTACCTGCTCCTGTTTCTCCTCCTGCTGGTTCCTGGTTCCTCGTGGCTGAAGATCCACGATCGCAGCCTCCCTCCTCCTGCTGCTGCTCCTCCTCCTCCTCCTTCGGGGGGCTCCTCTGGACCCGGATCACGCCTGCCTCAGAGCAAGCATGAGCGCGCGCTCGGCCTGTGACGTTAGCCGCTTTAGTGGCCATAGGCGCTCGTATTGAGCGTTTTCTTAGGGGCCTCAAGCTAGAACCGAGCTGACACGATTGCCCCCCAGCAGCAGAGTCCAGAGCCCAAAGCCCAGCCCCCCTCTTCCTCCTCTTACGAACACCATGCAGGCGGGCAGGTCTAGCTCCGATGCCAGGGTCCCAAGGGGAAGAACATTGGGTACCTGCCCAGCTCACTCCCCCGACTCCTCCTCCTCCTCCTCCTCCTCCTCCTCCTCCTGACCAGGTGTCCCTCGTATGTCGGAGGAGGGAGCCCCCTCGCAGGCCTGTCCGGAGCTGCCCTGCCTGTGGCTGTGGGTCGCACACAGGCTCTCCTCAGAAGGTTACGGCGCCCGTAACCCGAACCACCACACACACAACCACACACACACACACACTCACACGCACACACGTACACACAATCACGCACACACACACACAACCACACGCACACACACACACACACCCGCGCACGCACACACACACAAACCCACACACACGCACGCCCACACACACGCCCACACACACCACACACACCACACACACACACCACACACACAACACACACGCCCACACGCCCACACAGACACACACACAAATAACAGACACACATAGGCACACACAGACAAAACAACACATACACACAGAACAAAAACACCGGCAGACACACAGACACACAGACACGCATACACAGGCACATACACAGCAGACACACAGCAGACATCGCAGACACAGTAGACACAATATACACAACAGACACAAGCACAAAGACAGACACAGACACGGACAACGCTTCCACTACCTCATCCTGCATTTTCCCCTCCTCCTTCCCCTCCTTGACCAAGCGCCACCCAGAAGGGGTCGGAGTTAGTAGTGTCGGAGGATTATACCGCATCGTCGAAGCATCGGCGACGTCGGCGCGGAGAATATCGGGCTCCGTATCGACCCGCATCGCCGATGCACTGGCGATGCGGCGCGACTTCCGAAGCCATCTACGCTTTGCCATCGCTCGGACGTCCATTCCTGGTGCGTTTTTCGGTGTCGTCCGTTTTTTTGATCGATGCTCCAGGATGCTCCTCGATGGTTCTAGCCGGGGAATAAAGCACACGTCTCAGCGATGCCAAGACTCCGACCCCCCATGAAAGCCTAGATTAGGCGACGGCGACGGAGGAGGACTTGAGCAGGGGCCGACCATCCCGGCACTCCCATGGGCCTACCACGACATGTTCTTTAGAACGCAAGAGTGTCCCATCAACAAAACACATGTTCTTGGAACATAACTGCGATGCATTTAACCAAGACGGCCTCAACCAGAAATGTTCTAAAAACCTTTCGTGCGACCCACGAAAGGCTCTGAGAACAACCTCTGGCGGGCCCTATAGGCAAGCCGGGTCGCTTCGCCACTGCTCGAAGGACGGCCACGACTCCGCGCTCCCGGCCGCGCGATACGAGGACACACGTACTCGCGCTGCCGCGCCCCTCACCCCAGAGGCCCTAGAAGGAGACAACACTGCACAAACACACACTTGTGGGGCGCTCCGCGCGGATTCTTGGAGCTGCGCTGGACCCCACTCCCTGCGGCGCCGAGCGCGCCAGGGGGCGGCGCCCGAGGCGCCGCCAGGAGGGGCCCAGCGCAGGTCCAAGGAATCAGTGCGGAACACCAAAAATTTGATTATCTCTATGCCGTTTTTCTTCTTCCAGGGCGAGGGGCGCGGCTGCGCGCAATGTGTGCTCGTTTCGCGCGGATCCAAGGCATCCGTGCGGAGCGCCAAGAAATTTCTGCTTATGCCTTGTGTTCTTCTTCGGCCCCGGAAGACTGGGCGCTTGGCCGGGCCACGGGGGGCCCGCGGCGCGCCCCATGGCGACGGCGGCGGCAGGCCGCCGGACCAGGGCTGGACCTAAAAACGTTGTGTTTCGTGTCGTGTTCGTTTTGCTGTTCGTTTTGCTCTACCTGTTTGCCTGCCTTTCCCTGCCAAAGCGAGAGACAAAACGCTGCCGAAATCTAGCAAAACAGCGCTTAGGTCCAGCCCTGCCGCCGGGTGCCCCCCCTCCTCCCGGAGCTCTTCGGAGGAACCCCCCACGGCGCCGTCAGGAGGAGTCCTTGGCAAGCAGATCGGTGCGTGCTTGGCGGCGCGCGCAAGGGTGCAGAGGGAGGGGGGGAGCAGCCGCGAGCTTCTTAGAGGGGGCGCCCGCGCCTCCTGAGAAGGGGGGGGTGTTTCTCAGAGGCCTCCCCCCCTCCCGCCACCTCCCTTTTGCGCGTGGCTGATCTGTAGCACCCCACAGTTGAGTAAGGGTGCGGGCGCGGGGTGGGTCGCGGGGTGGGTCGCGGGGTGGGTCACGGGCGGGTCGCGGGCGGGTCGCGGGCGAGGACGACGAAATCAACAACGCAGCAATGACAACAACAGCAGCAGCAACAACACTTACAACAACACTTACACAATAACAACAACGACGACGACAACAACAACACCAACACCAACACCAACAACACCAACACCACCACCACCAACAACAACAACAGCAGCAGCAGCAACAACAACAACACCACCACCACCGACAACAACAACACCAACACCAACACCAACACCAACACCAGCAACAACAACAACAACAACAACAACAACAACAACAACACCAACACCAACACCAACACCAACACCAACACCAATAACAACAAAAACAACAACAACAACAACAACAACAACAACAACAACAACAACAACAACAACAACAACAACAACAACAACAACAACAACAACAACAACGACAACAACGACGACGACGACGACGACAACACCAACAAGATCAACAACGGAAAGGCGTGCACTTCGGCCCCGGGCAGGGCCGGAGCCTCCGGTGTCAGTCCCCCGGTGGACGGGCGCACACTCTGGCCCCGTCCTGAGACGCTGTGTGACGACAACTTCTCCGGCCCTGCTAGAGGCCATCAACGGCGGTGTCGCGCCGCGGTGGGCAAACGTACACTCCGGCCCAGTGTGCACCGTCATCTGTGCTGTTCCCTCCAGAGAAAACACTCCCCGTGCGCTACCCCCTTCTTCGGCCCGTATGCAGCTAAGACACCCTCAGGGACCTTCACGACTCCTGACGAAAGCTAAAGACTCAAACGGCGGCAGCAGACCCGACAGGAGCAGGGGGAGAGGGAGCTTCATAAAGGGTGGAAGGGAGGAAGGGAGGGAGAAGGGCAGCAGCAGCACCACCACCATCCAGGCATAATCCCGATCAAACAATACCATGCGGACCACATGCGCGCGTCCGCCGCCCTCGCGTGTCGAAGTCTGTCCAAAACCTTTGTTTTCGCAAAGATTTCGAGAGCGATCTTCACGAACACTAGTATTTTGGTTTTGAAAAACGAATGGATGTCGCAACCGCATTTTTAATGAAAAAAACATGCGCGCGCACTTCCTCATCAACCCCTCAGGAATCCCTTACGGACTCCTCCGAGAACTCTCAGGAGCCCCTAAGGAATCCCTAGGAACCCCTCGGGGATCCCCAGGACATCCGAACGGATCCTCAAAAGCCCCTGACCTTCGGAAGCCCCTTCGGGAAAACTCAAGGGAACCCCTTTCGGGAATCCTCCAGAAACCCTACGGGCCGTTCAGGAATTCCAAAGGAATCCTCGGGAGACTCGCAAGGAACCCTCTGGAACCCCAAAAGGAACCCCCAAGAATCCAGAAGATCTCGTCAGGAGCCCCTTAGGGAATCCCCAGGACCCCCTCGGGAATCCCCAGGAATCCGTAGGGAATCCTCAAGAACCCAAAAAGAATCCTCAAGAACCCAGAAGGAATCCTCAGGACCCCCTAAGAAATTCCCAAGACCCACGTATGGGGATCCGCAGGAATCCCTAGGGAACCCTCGGGGATGCCTAGGAATCTCTAAAGGAACCCCATCGAGAATCCTCCAAACCCCCTTAGGGACTCCGCAAGACCCCCCAGGGCATCCGGAGGAATCCCGAGGGAAGCCTAAGGAATCCCTAAGACATCTTCAGGAACCCTTACAGGGAATCACCCGGAATCTTTAGAGAATCCCCAAGAACCCTTAGGAAATCCTCCGGAATCCTTAAAGCATCCTCAGGAGCCCCGAGGGCATCCTCAGGACCCCCTGGGGGGAGGAGGGGGGGGGGAGGTCCTCAGGACCCCCAAGGGGATCCTCAAAAACCCCTGGGGAGCTCTCAGGAGCCCCTGAGGATCCCGCAAGGGAAAAGCTCGGGAATCCCCCAGAACCCCCCAGGAGTCCTTAGGAGACCCTTAGGGGATTCTTTGGAATCCCAAGGGGGTCCCCAGGAACCCTCAGGAATCATGAGGAATCCTGGGGATCCTGAAGAATGCTAAGGAATCCGGAGGAATCCTGAGGGGCACCCTGAAGGGATCCTGAGGCATCATGAAGGATCCTAAGGAGTCCGTAGGCGTCCTGACGAGACACGGTGGATCCTGAGGAATCCTGAAGTGTCCTGAGGAAGCTTTGGGGATCCTGAAGATTTCGAAGATATACTAAAGAATCCTGAGGGGCCCAACGGAATCCTGAGAACCCCATGGGGAGATCCTGAATAATCATTTGGGATGCCAGAGATTCCTGGGGGATCCTGGGGAATCCTGGGGACTCCGGAAGGAGCCTGAGGACTCCAGAAGGAGCCTGAGGAATCCTGGAGGATCCTGAGGAATCCTCGGGAGTCCCGCGGAATGGCTCCTGAGGAATCCCGAGGAATCCTGGGGGGTCCTAAGTAATCCTTGGGGGTCCTAGCGGGTCCGGAGGAATCCTCAGACATCCCAAAGAATTAATCTGAGGGATTCGCGGGAATCCTGGGGAAACCTCTGGAAACGCGCCAGGAATGCCGACCCCTTTTCTGGCCCCGTTGGGCACCTTGCGCTACGCCCCAGTGCCAACCCCTTCTCCGGCCCCGTGAGGCAAGCCCTCGGTTGCTGGAGCTTTGCTTACCCTTAAGGATAAGCACTTGAGCTTCGAGAGAAGAAGAACAAGAATAATCAAAATAATAAGAATAATAATATCTCAACAACAAACCGGGGCCGGTGTCAACGCCTGACCGATTAACAACCACAACAACACCAACACCGAGAACAAAAACAACGCCAACACCAACGCCACCACCAACAGCAGCACCAACAGCAGCACCAACAGCAGCACCAACAGCAGCACCAACAGCAGCACCAACAACAACAACAACAACAACAACAACAACAACACCAACACCAACACCAACACCAACAACAACAACAACAACAACAACAACAACAACAACAACAACAACAACAACCACACATACAACAACAACAACCACAACAACACCAACAACACCACTACCAACAACAACCACAAACCCAACGGCAACAACAACCGCAACATCACCACCACCAACAACAACACTCATTTCAATACCATTCGCTCTTATCTGGTCGCGTACAATTCAACACGTATGTCCCAAACCCTCGATGCCCACTTGGGGGTAGATCGTTCTTACATGCAAATTGTTTTCGGTGCAACACCTAAGGCAGGGGAAGAGAGGACGGATGGAAGGAGGGGGCAGGGGGGAGAGAGGAGGATGGAGCACGAGAGAGAATAGCGGGAGGGGGGCTAGGAGCAAAACACACGTGGCAGAACCAGACGGGCAGATCGGGCGGGTAGACCCTAACAAGCGAGCCCAGGCGGCCAGGTCGAGCAGGCGCAGGTTGCTGAAGTGTGTCCTGCATGAAGCGCGAGGAAGCCTTGAGCGACAGCGCGATTCCAAAATTAATCTCGTGAGGAGATCCAACGCAAGAGCGTGAGTCATGAGTGTCGAGGGAGCGGCGCCTGGATCAATTTCGAGGAAGCCCCAGCGACAGCGCGATTCCTGAGTGTCGACAGCGCGACGCCTGAATAAATTGCGAGGAGTTCACAGGCGAGAGAGCGATGCTTCAATACATTGCCTAGCGAGAGAGCGATTCTTTAATACATTGCACGGAAATATCAGGCGCGAGCCGTTGTTGTTGTAAACCGGGGGCCAGGGGAACAATTTGAGCAGGAAGATTTGCCCCGGTAAAAACACAGCGAGCCCGGTAAAACCGCGTACGTTACGCGAATGCGTGAGTCCTGCATAATTCGCCTAGGAGTCTTGGGCGAGAGAGCGATTCCTAAATAGATTATGAGGAAGTCCAGGCGAGAGCGCGATTCCTGAATGGCGAGGGAGTGGCGCCAGAATAAACTGCGAGGAAGTCACATGCGAGAGCGCGATGTTTTGGATACATTGCAAGGAATTCCCTAGCGAGAGAGCGATTCCTCAGTAAACTGCGAGAAAATATTCGGCGGGAGCCGTTGTTGTTGTAAACCGGCGGCCAGGGGCACAGTTCGAGGAGAAATATTTTCCATGATCAATAACAGGGTGCGAGCCCTGGGAGGGGTACTTTAATTGAAAAACAAATATGTTACCAGAGGGGGGATCAACAAACACTATTCTTCAGTAGTCAGAGTCCAACAAGCAGAATATCCGCGCCGCGGTGTCCCACTTCAGCCACGCACCAAGGGACATTTTTTTGGGGCGGGAGGAGATGGGAGCGGACATCGAAACCGTACACCAAGCGGCTGAGGCGGACAAATCCTGTCCCCTTAGGCAGACAGCGGCCAATAAAAGGAGCCACCCGTGACAATTATTGCCCGGGCGACTGATCATCCAAACGCCTTGATCATCCTGCTCGACCCTGGAACCTCACCGACCTGCCGCACTGGGGTGCTGCGTCTCCCCGAGGGGACCCCATCGTGTCAGCGATCTCTCGAGAGGGGGTCTGTAGCTGATGGGCCACGGGTAGGTACCAGGACCAGAGCGCCCCCGAGTTGATGTTGGCCTGCTTCGGTGCGGACGACGGAGAGGTCTACGGCAACGGCTGGTAAGGCCTCGGATTGCGCATAGGCAGCTCCCTGGGTGGCCCTGGCTGGCATCAACAGGCGACCCCGAGTAGTCAGAGGCGCCGATGGAGGCGGCGACAAGGTGCTGGGACCGCGCCAGACTACTCGATGGCCTGTCGAGGCCAGCCAGGACCACCTGGGGTTGCTGTCTGTGCGTGGCCCGAGGCCGTACGGTGAGGGCCTTGGACAAGGAACAAGTGGATAGGGATCCAGGGCCTGGAAGCTGACAGAACACCAACTGAGGCTTGGCCATGGACATCACCGCCGCCCTGATGAACTGATCAGTGAAGGAACCCTCCAGGGTCTGAAACCTCCTGGGCACGCTCCTGACGCCCCCGCTGCACCAGCGACGGCGGCGGCGGCGGCGGCCGCGGTGGCGGCGACGGCGGCAGCGACCGCGCGGGACTACTCGGGGGACCAGACAATTGAGGCACAAACTCGGATGTCTGGATACCTCGGGTGGCGCTTGTGTCCTTTTCCGGCCTCTCAAGGGGCATGCTGGCACAGCTTACCACTTGCGCCACCGATGTGCCTACGTAATGCGAATCGGCCGAGATCGCCAAACAATCGCCCATGAAGGCAGGAAGAGGAGCAGAAGGAGTAGGAGGAGGAGGAGGAGGAAGAGGAGGAGGGGGAAGGAACTCGAGGAGGAGGAGGAGGAGGAGGAGGAGGAGGAAAAGGAGGAGGAGGAGGACGAGGAGGAGGAAAGGGGGAGCAGGGAGGAGGAGGAGGAGAGAGGAGGAGGAGGAGGAGGAGGAGGAGGAAAAGGGGGAGCAGGAGGAGGAGGAGGAGGAGGAGGAGGAGGAGGAGAGGAGGAGGAGGAGGGAGGAGGAGGAGGAGGAGGAGGAGGAGGAGGAGGAAGGGGAGGAGGAGGAGGAGGAGGAGGAGGAGGAGGAGGAGGAGGAGCAGGAGGAGGAGGAGGAGGAGCAGGAGGGGGAAGGACCTCGGGGGGCCTGTTGAGGCCAGTTAGGGCCACCTGGCGGTGCTGCCCGTGCGCAGGCCGAGGCCTTCTCAATGGCGGCGGCGGCGGCGACAGCAGGCGGCGGCGGCCGCTTCGGCGGCGGAGGCTGCTCCTGCTCGCCGGGTCCGCCCCCGCTTCCAGGAGCAGCGACACGACCTCCGCCGACCCCGCCCGCGCCGCCTCGTGCAAGGCGGTCCACGCGTTCTCGTCCGCGAAGTTGACGTCCGCCCCGGCAGCCAGGGCCTCGACGACGACGGGGCTCCCGGGGGCTCGGGGTGCGAGGCGTTCGGGCGGCTGGCTCGGCACTCGGCGGCCTCCTCCTCCCCTTCTCCTCGTCCTCCTCCTCCTCCTTCCTCCTCCTCCTCCTCCTCCTCCTTCCTCCTTCTCCCCTCCTCCTCCTCCTCCTCGTTCCTCCTCCTCCTCCTCCTCCTCCTCCTCCTGCCAGCCTCGGGGTGCGCTCCGGCGGCTGCGCCCTGCCGAGAGCACGCCGGGGGTGGTCCAGATCGTCCCCAACGGCCGCCCGAGGCCCGACCTATGGCCCGAGCACCTCAGGGGCAAGGCTGGACCCACCTCCCTCCCTCCTCCCTCCTCCCTCCTCCCTCCTCCCTCCTCCCTCCCTCCTCTCGTTCTCCGATCTGTTCTCGATGTGTGTCCGCCTGCTCCCCTGGGCCTCTCCGCCAAAACGAAACACAAGCCGAAGCCCGACATCCAGCGAAACAACGCCTAGGTACGGCCCTGCTCCTGGGCTGGGCCAGCCTTGAGATCTTGGCGCCGGCTTTCCTTCCCCCCGCGGACGGTTTTGTCTCGCTGCGGCCCCCAGGGCCCGCACGGGTCGATCCAGCCCGAGCGCTGCCGCAGAGGGACGGGGTCCAGGGCTCCCGTCGATCTTTTTTTGGGAACAATCGGGCCAAGGACAAAAAAAACACCCTTCAAAGACAGGAAACCCTCCGCCAGCCGAAACACAGAACATCCACGGGCGCCCTCCCTGGGACGGCGGCGACGGCGGCGACAGAGGCGGGGACGGTGACGAGAACATCCGTCCAACTCTAGGCGTGACAGCCCGGCCCCTGCAATGCTTCCCGATGCCGCGCGGATCGCTCAGCCGTGAACGATCGCGGCCCTCCGATCGCTCGACGTCGGCCGACTCTGGGCCTCTCGGGGGGCGGTCGCCCTTGAACGTCCGCGGTGGGCTTGCCAGCCGCGCCGACACGGCGCGCGAACCCTGACAACCACCGATCGGTTTTTCCCACTCCGTGGCCACAGGAATCCGAATCCCGACCGCTTACCCGGGGTAGTAGTTTATGCTGTGTCCTTTCTCGATGGCCCCAGGGCCCAGACAAAAGCCCGATGGACGGAGGCGACGAAGCACCGCACGTTGCCATAATCACGTCGTCGGGTGTCTGGGAACCTGCAGTCGCCCGCGATCCGACGTCGTGAAACAATTGCAGCGTGGCGAATAAACTCGACTGGAGCCCAGGACCCAATCTTCCTGCGGGATTTTTCGAGCCGGATTGATCTGTGAGGGGCGCGGGGGCCCGAAACAAGGCAGAATCGCCCGTTGCGAAAAAGTTGCGACGCCAGGATCTCATGGGAGGGGGCCGTGGAATCTGGGAGATGTCACTAAATGCCTCCTAGATGGGGTCCGAGTAGATTGGGCCCGATACATGGCCGATGCATCGGCGACGTCGGCAATGCACCTGCACCATCAGCGTGGAGGAAAACGAGCTCCACATCGAGCGGGGCAATCCTCTGACCCCATCTACTCCGACCACATCTGTGAGGCCTAGATCCTAGACCCGCGACGTCATGATCTTTCCATGACGCGACCCCCAGTGGTCTGGACCCATTCCTCGGCGGCAGTGTTTCATCCGAGTCGTTTTTTGACGGTCCCGAGGCCCGGTGAGGGCCCCCATAGGCCGAAATGTTGCGAAAAACCTGCCGCCGTGATTGCTTTCGTGACTCGAAGGGGCCCGAGAGGCCTAGCTTCATGGAAGGTCTAGATTCATGGCCCCTGCCATGATGCCCACATCATCCCAGCGCTCACCTGGGAGGCTTGGGAATGGGCACCAACACCAACACAAGGGGTTTGCATCCACCGCGGGAAGATGATCCTCGACTGCGGTGTTGGTGGTAATCTTTCGGCCACCTAGGAAGCCCGAACGTTACCGCCATCACCGAGATCGGGATTTCTGTTCCCTCGGTGTAGGCACACAACCGATAGGCTCAGGGTCACCCGCGCGAGGGATTTTGGGCGCCGCGCGAGGGATAGCAGGCAGCGGACCTGCCAGAGCTCGCGCCGCACCGCGGGCCAGAGCTCCTCCTGCAGCTCCGAGACAGACACGCAGACAGAAGCCGCGCACATCAGAGGTGCGTTGGCAGAAATTGTGAAACGGAGACTATTGGGGGAACGGCGAGCGCGCGAAGCATGGCAATTGGGGGGAGGAGGAGGAGGCGGATGAGGAGGAGGAGGAGGAGGAGGAGGAGGAGAAGGAGGAGGAGCAGGAGGAGGAGGAGGAGGAGGATGGAGGAGGAGGAGGAGGAGGAGGACGAGGAGATCGAGAAGGAGGAGGAGGAGGAGGAGGAGGAGGAGGAGGAAGAGCAGGAGGCGGAGGCGGAGGCGGAGGCGGAGGAGGAGCAGGAGGAGGAGGAGGAGGAGGCGGAGGAGGAGGACGAGGAGGAGTTTTTACCCCTCGAGATTGGTGCTGGTGTCAACTTCTATAGGCCTCCGATTACCCCTTCTCTCCGAGGCCCGGCGGCTGCTCGGCGCGCGCCGCCTCGGGACTCCGGGCCGCCCGCCGGGGCACCGAGCCGAGGAGGCACCCCCAGAGAGAGCCCCGAGGCGCCTCGGAGACCGCCGACTATGATTGGGTCGGGCCTGTCCCCTGCAGGGGGATCTTGGAGAAAAAAATAAAAAGTACGCAAAACATACTCACAAGATGCCCCAAAATATTCAAACAATCGTCCCCAGACTGTTTTTGACTGTTTTTGAATTTTCCTCCTGTAGAGGCAGGCCCGACTGAAGACTACGACGAAGCCAAGACGATGACAAAACCGGGTGAGGATGAATCGAGAATCTCCTGAACATTTTCTGAGGGTGGAGGGCTCAGAGTGAAATCCATGCGGGTTTTTGCACCTCGAAAACCCAGCCGTCTTGCGATTCACCTTGTGCAGGCCTCGAACATCCATCGAAACAGCATTTCAGATTTCACCCTTTGCCCTCCACCCAAAAAACATGCTCGAATCTCTGAGATCCGCCAGCTCTGGAGGGCGCGTCTCGGGCGCCGCGGCCTTCTCAGAGGATTTCCCGGAACGCCCTGGGAGCGTCCTGGAGTGCTCTGGAACGGACATTCGTCCTCGTCCTGGCATCGTCCGAGCATTGGAGGCGGCCAGGGGTCTGAACTGCTTGGGGCCCCAGACAGTCGGTCAGGAACAGGGGTAGAGCCAAATCCGCTCAAGATCTGTCCCCGACCCCTCCTGGGGCTCATCTGGTGCAGCTTCTGATGGGCCTGTTTTCCACCACCACCACCACCATAACTTGGAGGGGGAAGGAGGTGGAGGGGGGTGGAGGGGGGTGGAGGAGGAGGAGGAGGAGGAGGAGGAGGAGGAGGAGGAGGAGGAGGAGGAGGAGGAGGAGGAGGAGGAGGACCCCCTCTCCCCTCCAACTTATGGTGGTGGTGGAAGACAGGCCCATCAGCTTCACCCTGGAGCCGTTTCGGATGGCCCCAAGGGCCCGAACACGGCCCCGGGGAGGCGGGACATGGCCGGAGACCTCCCCGAGCCCAGAGCGCCGAACCTGCCCGCCCCTGCTGCTCGCTGGAACCGGTGCTGCTCTGAGGTCGGGCATGTCCCCCTACGGGCGGATTCTGGACGACTAATGAAAAACATCCCAAATATCCCTCGCCCTCATTCTTCCAGACCTTCCGTGCTGACCTTCCACGCTCTTGCGCTTCGTGAAGCGCTGAGTTTTCTTGCGTTTCCCGAGGCCTTCAATAGTTTCAGTGCATCACCTCCCGCGCCTTCCGCAGAGGTCGGAAGGTATGGAAGATGGAGGTGCAGGGATGCCCGCCCCCCCCAATGTCCCAAAGTGGTCAAAACATCGTCCCCGGACCATTGCTTACTGTTTTTGAAGATCCCCCCTGTACGAGGGACGGCCCGTGCAAGCGGGGGGGCGCCTCCGGAGCGGCCCGACAGGCCTTCCGTGCGAGCCTGCGCGCGCGCGAGCGGGAGCGCACCCGGAGCGCGCCTCCGGAGCGCGCGGCGCGCGAGCGGACGCGCGCGGGAGCTCCTTCGGGGCGCGCCGAGGAGTGCACCGCGCGCGAGCGGGCACGCGCGGGGGCGCCTCCGGCGTGCGTCAGAGCGCGCGGCCCGACCTCCAGCCAGTGCTGGGCCACCCCAGGCCCCCAGGCGGCTCCAAGCTGCGACAAGGCTGCGGCGCCAGGGCCTCGGCGGCGGCGGCGGCGGCGGCGGCGAGCGGAGCGGCGCCCGGCCCGAGCAGGCCGAGGCGGGGGGGGCCTCGCGCGTCAGGTCGGGGCTGCCGTTCTTGGCCGCGTCGAGGAGGGCGGCGCCCTCGCCGGGGGGGCGGGGCCCGAGGGCGAGGAGGGACCCCGAGATCCCGGCGCCGCAGCGCTCTCACGGCGGGCGACCTGGCCACCTGGCCCCTCACAGATCGATCGGGCTCGAAAAATCCCGACGATGCATCGGTGATGCATCGCCGGTGCATCGCCGACGACGCCGATGCATCGGCGACGCACCGGCGATGTATCGGCGATGTGGCGCGATGTATCGGGCCCAATCTACTCGGATCCCATCCACCAGAGGCCCAAATGCCAGCGTTCGCGTGCGCACACCGCGTCTATTTTTTGCAAACCCCCTCACGATTCGTGGCCCCACAGGGAGCCCACCGAAGGCCCAAATGGCAGCGTTCGCATGCGGCCACCGCACCCATTTTTGACACACCCCTCACACGTTTCGTGGCCCCACAGGGAGTCCCACCAGAGGCCCAAATGCCAGCGTTCGCATGCGCACACCGCGCCCATTTTTGGCACACCCCCTCACGATTCGTGGCCCCACAGGGAGCCCACCGAAGGCCCAAATGCCAGCGTTCGCATGCGGCCACCGCACCCAGTTTGGCAGAGCCCTCACACGTTTGGTAGCCCCATAGGGAGCTCCACCGAATGCGGTGCATACAACGACGGTGCTCAGAACCGCATATGGTTGGGTCCTTCGCCAGGCTAATCCCACCAGCCCTCTGGGCGTCGGTGGTTTAGAGCGTTTCCTCTTCCACCCCTCCTTCTTCCTCTTCGGGGAGGGGTTTACCCCTCCCCCTACCCCCTCCCCACTGACCTGGACAGGGGGTTCCGCGGCGCGCTGGAGCGCCCAAGATCGACCCCTGGGAAGGCTAAAATTCGACACCCCTCACGAGGATCGTGGCTCCTGGGGGGGGGGCTCTAATTAAGGAACCCCTCTTCTTTGATCGATTTCCTCCACGATGGCCGCAAGAGGCCCCCAGGATGCCCCAAGAGGCCGCAGGATGGCCCCAAGATGACCCCAAGAGGCCCCCCAAGAGGCCCCCAGGAGGCCCCCAAGAGACCCCTAAGAGGCCCCAAGAAACACCCCAGAGGCACCCAAGGTGCTCCCAGAGGCCCCAAGATGGCCCCAAGAGGCCCCAAGAGGTCCCCAGGAGGCCCCAAAGAGGACCCCGAACGGCCCACAGAGGCCCCCCCGAGGCACCCAAGACGCCGAAAAGCCCCTCAGGACGACCCTCTACTCGCCTGGGCGTCGTTTCTGGACGGGATGGTGGGGATACGCGAAGCGTCTAGAATTTGCCTTTTTTGGGGGGAACATGAGGAGGAGAGGGAGAAGGAGGCGCAGGAGGAGGCAGAGGAGGCAGAGGAGTCGCAGGAGGAGGCAGAGGAGTCGCAGGAGGAGGCAGAGGAGGAGGAGGAGGAGGAGGGAGGAGGGGAGGGAGGAGGGAGGGAGAGGAGGAGGAGGAGGAGGAGGAGGAGGAGGAGGAAGACGAGGAGGATAATAAATGCGGCGAATAGGACGAGAAGGATCTGAGAAGGAGGATGAGGAGAAGGAGGACAAGGAGGAGAAGGACGCAGAGGTCGGAGGGGAGGCCTCCGCCAGTCGAAGAAAAAAGGGCGAGGGGCAAGCTGAATGAATTCTCCTGTGGAGTCCGACGGTCGGAGTAGTTTTGGGGGGGCGCCGACCCCGAGATCCTGGCGTCGCACTTGTTTCGCCGCGGGCGGTCTTGCTCATCGTTGGGGGCCTTCGCGGCACGATCTCCGCCCCGAAAAACAGGGAAGATGGGCTCGGGGTTCTGGCCGATCGTCGGATCTCAGGACTCCTTTATCCCACGAGGTCCTGGCATGGCAACTCTTTCACAACGGGCGATGTTTGCCTCGTTTCGGGCCCCGGGGCCCTCACGGCTCGAGCCGGCGGGAAAAACTGCCGCAGAAAAGTGGGGTCCAGGGCGTACGTCGAGGAGGCAACTCATGGAAGGTCGTCGTAAGAACCAATAAAGGCCACTAGACCCACTGCAGGAGCCAGCAAGCTGGATTGAGTCGGGTTAAACGGGACTGAGCCGGATTCAACGGGAGAATGTCAGATCAGGCCAGCTTCCGACAAGGACATGCCAGCGCCGATGCTGAGTTTGACCTCCCAGTTGCACTCCAACCATCCAGGGTACCCATTTGCAGCGACGCCCCGCAGGTCTGGCCCCCTTTCCAAGGACAATTGTTTCATCCTGGGTATTCGTTGGATGGGCCCGGGCCCCAACAAAGGCCCCAGGAGGCTGAATATGGACAAAACAATGTGTACCTTCATGATTGTGTTCTCGACTCGAGGGGGTCTGGGTTTAGAGGCCTCCTACGTGGTGTCCGAGTAGATGGAGTCGGAGGCTCGCGCCGCATCGCCGATGTAATTATCGGCGATGCGGCGCGATCCTCTGACCACATCTAATCGGGCCCAATTTGGGAAGCCTGGGGTCTGCACGCAGCAGATGCCGCAGCGTTCGTTTCCCGCGCCCCCGCTTTCGGATACCCTACCTTGTCAAGGCGGGCGCTCCATCTGCCCGTGCCGCCGACCTCGTCCTTACTCAGCTTCAGCGCGGCATCGTCCCTCGCGTCGCTGGGGTCGGCACACTTGTTGCCGAGCGAAAAGTAAGAGCCCTCCTGCATGTCCACGTAGTCCGAAGGATTGCTTGGTGGCGCGCAAGAACACTGACACCCGGGCCCGGCACTCTGTCAGACTGGGCGTGCTCGCGCGGTTTTGGGGCCGCACGGCGGCACCGCCCCCACTTTGGCACACACTCCTCACACGCTTGTGCCCTCTCTCGCCATCGCTCGGACGTCCATTCCCTGTGCTTTTTTCGGTTTCGTGCGTGGCTTTCTCGCCAAATGATCAAGGATGCTCCTCGATGGCCCTCGCCGAAGGAAAAATGCACTCGTCCGAGCGATGCCAAGATCCTGCCAAAGCGGCCTGGCGACGAGCCGCTGAATCCCCGCGGGGGCCTCCGACAGCGGACACGAACGCAGCAGTGCTCGCATTCGACGCTGGCAGCTGCGTGGGAGCTGGGCCCTTGGCCAGGCTACAGTCAACCAGCGTAGCAAGGATGCGCGGTAAGGATGCAAAAGGCCTTGGACGGCCACGTCGAAGCTTTTCGAGCGGGGCGCGGCCAACGAGCGTGGCCAAGGGTGGGCCGAGGAGGCCAGGATGCAGGGGGTACCCTTGGGACGGCTGCCCATCCTTAACTCGGCGGTGGCCAAACCTCCCCTTAGTAAACCTCCCCTTAGTGAGAACGGCCTGGGACCGAAACCGACGGACCTGGACCCGCAAAAATGACGGCCGCGACGCCCTCCCGCGAGCCGAAAACGGCCAATTCCGTAATCGACGTGTCATGGTAGGAGGTCTATCCACCTCCGATTAATATTCGGGTTGACTGCAGTCTCTTGCTCGCCGCCAGATTGTACTGCAGCTTGTGGTACTGCTCCGGCCACCCCTCCTGCCTCGGGTGCCTGGGGCGGCCGTCCTCCACCAGCCGCACGGAGCTGCCGGACCGCATCTGCTGGAACTCCACGAACCCGCGCCGCATCCAGTCCTCGGGGGCGGCGGTGCGTGGCCCAGACCTCTGTCGCCGCCGCGCGGCAGGGGCAACCCGCGCGCGGGCTCGAGTTAGGTCGGGCATGTCCTTCTACAGGCCGACTTTGGACGAACATAAGCACCCAACAACTACTCAACAGTAGTCGAAAATGGTCGAAGCATCTTCCCCGGACTATTTTTGGATTGGTATTGCATCTGCCTCCTGTGGAGGGGCACGCCCGACTCAATGCGCTCGAGTCGCCGGGGGCGCTCGGCATGCGAATTGTCCGGCTGCAGGCGGAAGAACAAGCGGGAAGGGGCGGCCGACCAAGACAGGAGGGGGGGGAAGGCACTCACCGCGGACAACAAAAAACAGGATGAGCGCGCCGTTGCGGCCAGCCGAAGCTCAGGTCGGGCGTGTCCCCCTACAGGCGGGTTCTGGACGAGAAATAAAGAATACCCCACCAGTGCCCCCAAATATTGAAAAAGGTAAAAAAAGTCCCGAGACTATTTTGGGACTATGTTTTAATCTTCCTCCTGTAGAGGGACGTGCCCGACTTACTCCTGGCAGCGTGCGCGGGAAGGTATCACGAAGAAGACCAGGGACCGAGGCCAGGGCTGCAGGCGCAGGAAGCGAGATGAGCAAGGTGGAGGCAGTGCGCCAGGGAGAACGGCCTGAAGAGGACCCCTGGCAGCGGGAGCGGGAGCATCCGAATGTTCACCGCGGGAACGGCGCCAGCAGGATGCGGCACACGGTCCAGGTGGCCGTGCGAGGAGCACGCGGGGGGCGGCGCCATTGCACTCGGGCTGCAGCAGAATGCTGCCGGACGAAGCCCCCCGGGATGCTGAACTGCAAAAGCGTGACCCAGAGACGATGTGCTTTCAGAATGTGCGGCTCCAGAGGACTCGACTGCTTCCCCGTGTAAACTTCGTCCAAGATCCGTCTTGAGGCCTACTTATGCGCCCCAAGCCGGAACCTAGGAACAACGAGGACAATGAACAAACTCAGATCGTCGATCTGGGGAAAGGAGGCAGAAGGATCAGGGATCGAAGATCGGTCCTGAATGTTCAGGGACCCATACTTTCTGAGCGTGGATTGCCCCTGTCTGGACCCTCCCGGCCGTCAGGGGGCCTCGGGAGGCGTCTCGCACGAGCTGGCTGGCAGAGCGGCCGCTGCGTCATGCTCCGAATTCGTCACGGCCGACCCCGCCACGGACCAGCGCGACATCGAAGCCTTCCTCTTGAGAAGGCGGGCGCGGAGAGCTCTGGCAGATGCGATCCAAGCCGATCCGTGGACCGCGGCGCGTCCCTCGGCTCCTCTCCCCGATCGGCCCCCCAAGCTCGAGCTGGCCCTGAGAGCGTCCCAGCACGACCGGCGGCGGGTCGGCTCCTGGTTTTATTGCAGAGCTTGTCAGGTGTTCGTGAACAGGGAGCGCGTCCTCCTGGCAGCCCAGGCAGTATGTCCCCAGGCCGCCCCCCAGCTCGGTGTTGCCCCTCTTGTCGGGAGGCGAGTGATTGGGGACCAGGTCTTGCATGATTCCCACTCCCTCCAGCATTGGGGGCAATTTCATCTGACGTTTTGTTCCAAGTGCGGTCGTTCAGCTACGACTGGCCCCAGGCATTTGGTTTCGAAGTGCGGCTCCCCCTCTGCAAAGGGGAGGCAGAATTTGGCGCGCATCCAGAGGGGGGAGTACCCCCACCCCAGCGGGCCGCCGAAGTCGGTCCGAGCTGCTGCCATCGCCGATCTGCAGCAGTAATCGAGAGGAGCTTCGACATTCGCCGTCGTTTACCCCAACGTTCCAAACGTTCCCAACGTTCTCCTGCTCTCTTCTCCACTCTTTTCCGCCTCCTCCTCCTGCTCCTCCTCCTCACCCTGCTCCTCCTCATCCTCCTCCTCGTCCTCCCCCTCCTCCTCCTCCTCCTCCTCCTCCTCCTCCTCCTCCTCCATCTCAGCCACCCTCACAGGCTGTGTAATCCTCCTTCTCCTCCTCCTCCTTGTTCTCCTCCTCCTCCTCCTCCTCCTCCTCTCCTCATCCTCCTGCACCTGCCCTCCCGTATTCTCCCGTCATCTCCGACTCTCACATGCCTGCCGTCTCCTGCTGCCTCCTCTCTGTTCCTCCAACCTTGCCCTCTCCCTCCTCCTTCTTCTCCTCCTCCCATCTCGCCTCTTCCCCCCTTCCTTTCTGTGATGTCCTGAGAGCGTTTTACTGCGTGTCGTTGGATATGGGAGCATTGTGGCAGAATGCGTATATGATTTTCTGGGGGCGGCATGGGAACAAACAGTGTTGCGATGGAACACGTGGTGTTTCATGCGTGCACGCTGCTGGGGAAACAGTTTGCGACGGTGTCTGTAGTTTGTCTTGCACTGGCACTGGGTGAGACAGAGCAGCGTTGCGACCAATTCTATTGACTGTCGGATGGTTTGTATCAGAGAGTATTGAAAGGACAACATTGAGTTGCGACAAGCTCAGGGGATTTTCTGTGCATGGCCGTTGCCATGGAAAGCGTAGCACTTGTCCGTAGGCGTTTTGTGGCCCAATTCCTGCACACTTTTGGCGCGGCCGTATTCAATTTGATCGTAGTTCTGGATCGAATTTGGCCAGCTCGTTAGTTGCCAAATCTATTGCTGTGCGAAGGGTGCACTAGCGAGAGACGGGGATCTTGGCAACTAGCTCCCAGTCAATCGAACAGAAGTGCTGTGAATACTTCATGGCCAACATGATCATCAATGCAACTTGATGTGATGTCATCCCGCGACTGCTCCCCATTTGCCAGACGATCCAACTAGTGCGTGACCGGTCTGGCATAAAGCGTGTGCAACAGTGGTTATCTCATGTACTGGCTTTCCTTCTACTCATTCCAACTGTTCCCGCTTATTCTGATCATCTACCTCGTGGTTTGCGCGACCTTCATCTTGGTGATCTTCGTGACGTCGGGCATGTGTTGTCGGTCTGCTAGCTCGGTGGCTCCCAGCAGGGTGCCCGAGGCAGGCTGCGGCGGTCCAGGGACCCTGTCAAAACCTAGCCCGAGTACTGGCCACGATCGTGGAGCATTCAGTCGGGGGCGCGCAAACACGGATTAGCGATCCACCGATTTGGCGCGCGGTCGTCGTAGGAGGTTTTCTCTCCAAAATGCGGCCTGTGCCGCCTCGCTCGGCGGCAGGAATCCGCGATTTCCCATGGAAATGGGGCCCGTCGCTAATCCACGCCCCCTTGATCCATGTTTGCAATCGCCTGATTCATGTGAACAAGCCACGGGCCTCATCACGTGCGCGATGATTTTTGTGGTGCTTTCTCGTGGCGGTGCAGCAATGTTCGTGTTGTGGCGTCCCCCGGCGTTGCCGTTTAGGCCAAGGTAACTCGGGTTCGGATTCCCAAAGAACGAACCCGAATCAGCCCTGACCCGAGTTACCCCTGATGATTTGGGGCTCTGGACGCCCAGCGTATCCGGGGTAACTCGGGCCCGGGCTAACTCGGGTTCGGATTCCCGAAAGGCGAAGCCGAGTTGGCCCTGACCTGAGTTATATACCCCTGATGATTCGGGGCTCTAAAAGGTCCTCCATCCATCCATCCGTCCATCATCGGAAATCGGACATCGGACCCGCTGCTGTCGCCGGCGGGGGCGTCGCAGGCTGGCGCCGTGGCGCCAGGCAAGTGCGAGTCAGATGGGCAGACAGGACACACATGTGTTGCCGCACTGTGAAAGCAACGCTGCACAGAAAGGTCAGGCGCCGTCCTGCCGACGTAAGCTGCCTCGAGTATGTCCCATTTGTCAGGCAGGACTGCGGAGGCCCAGTCGGGTCCTGCGTAGGTGTGTAATCGCATCCTGCGTAGTGTACAGCCCATCCATCCATCCATGAAAACTCCTCTCCTCTCCTCTCCTCTCCCCTCCCCTCCCCTCCCCTCCCCTCCCCTCCTCTCCTCTCCTCTCCTCTCCTCTCCTCCCTCTTCCCTCTTCCCTCTTCCCTCTTCCCTCTTCCCTCTCCTCTCCCCTCCTTCCTCTCCCTCTCCTCTCCTCTCCTCTCCTCTTCTCTCCTCTCCTCTCCTCTCCTCTCCTCTCCTCCCTCTCCTCCTACTCGTCTCCCTTGTTCTCCTCCCTTCTCCCCCCTCCCTCCTGCTTGTTCCCTCCTCGTTTCTCCCTCCTCCCTTTCCTCCACCTCTCTGTCCGCCCCAAACCCCCGACATCATGCTCGTTTCACAACTTCGACCCCTGGAGGTCTCGTCCCATCCCCCTGGGCTGGCATTTCATCCCGAGAGTCGGTGTTTTGACGGGCACGGGGCCCGTTGAGGGCCCCTCGTAGAAGCCGAAAACGGCATACAACCTCCCAACCGCGATTCTCGTCGCGGCGCCCCCCCCTCCGCGATCTTTCCCCCCCCCCTCCCCCGACCGAGCCTTGGGGTGGCTTTGCAGGCACAGGCCCACGCGGTCCTCCTCCCCACGTTGATGGACCTAATTTCCACCACCATTATCATAAGTTGGAGGGGGAAGGAGGAGGAGGAGGAGGAGGAGGAGGAGGAGGAGGAGGAGGAGGAGGAGGAGGAGGAGGAGGAGGAGGACCCCCTCCCCCTCCAACTTATGGTGGTGGTGGTGGAACACAAACCCATCACACGTCATCTTTCCCCCCCCCCCCCCTCCGCGATCCCCCCCCTTCGCGATCCTCCTCCCCCATCTAGCGGCTCCTTGGGGCGGTAGTGCAGGAACAGGCCCACGTGCTTCCCCCCCGCCGGCAGCCGCGCAGGCTTCCCGTGCCGCGGCCGCGGTCGAAGCCCGCCCGTGCCAGCCCCAGAGGGGGGAGGAGGGGGGGGCATCGAGAAAGGACGGAGGACGTAGGCAACTAGGGGGGGGGGATGGAGGGAGAGGGGGGGGGAGGAGAAACAGGAGGGGGAGGAGGAGGAGGAGGGAGGAGGGAGGAGAGGACGGGAGGAGGCGGAGGAGGAGGAGACGGGGGAGGAAGAGGCGGAGGAGAAGGAGGAGGAGGAGGAGGAGGAGGGGGAGGAGGACGAAAGGGAGGAGGAAGAGAAGGAACGTGGGTGACGGGGGCGGAAAAGGAGGGGGAGGAACGCAAGGGAGGAGAGGAAGGAAAAGAAGGGTGGAAGCAGGGAGGGAGGAGTGACGGGCGGAATAACGATAATGCTGATGATGGTGGGAAGTGAGGGTCATGATGTTGCTGATGAAAGAGATGCTGCTGCTGCTGCTGCTGATGATGATGAAAACGAATTTGCTGATGATGAAGACGGGTCTGAATATGATGCTGATGATGACGACGATTATGATTATGATTATAATTATGATGATCAGATGAGAACCCATAGGGGGCCAGCGAGGTCTCCCATCCAGCAACAGCCCCTTGGATCGGGCTACACCCGAGCGTAAGTTTGCGATGCGCGGCCGTGCACCTCGCAGCTCACAACGAGGAAGGGCCCTGCTGTTGCCGCGGTGCCCTCTGAAGCAAATGAAGGGCAGCCGACATATCGTGGCTGCTCCGCTGCACTGAAAACCCCTGCGAGGCAGGTTTGCCCCGCTTGATCACTACTGGCATAGTGGTCTCCTCGGGGCCAGGGTTTTAGCCAGGCCCGTCGAGGCAACGGATATCTTCGCGCGTTTACCACCCCCCTGTTCTGCACTCGAGGGGCGGCGGACGCTGGGCACCCCACCAACCACCTGGCCCTTAAAACCAGACTCGTGCGATGGCACTCTGTTGTGAGGAGTGAGCGGGATCGAGGAAGGGAGAAGAGGGGCGCGAGGATGAGAGATCGGCCTGCTGGCAGCGCGACTCAGGCTTCTCACCAGCATCTCTACCTGTCGTTTTGTTGTATTATTTGTTTTGTTGTTGTTTTTTGTTCTACTTCAGGTGCTTCAAGGCTCCTGCGCTCAGGCCCCTCTCGGGGGCGTAGGCGGTCGTGGGCCGCGGCTACTCCTGCACCATGCTCTCGAACTCCTGCAGCCCCGTGTGCAGCAATCTCTCGACGTGCCCCATGGGTGCGGTCCCCTGCTTGTGCTCCGCCCCCGCCTGCACCAGGGACGCGAGCGCGGGCGCGAAGTCGAGCCTCGACGTGAAGCTCAGCGCCAGCTCGACCTTCCCATCCTCGTGCGCGTCGGTGATCTTTGCGGGCGGCGCGGCCTCGCCCATCTCCACGTGAGTGAGCTGGTTCAGCTGCTTGCTCAGCTCGCCCAACTGCTGCTGGTTGGTGCGGCCCACTGCGTTTCCCTCGGCTGCCGGGCCCTCGAACACCCCCTCATAGCACGCCACCGAGATCGTGCCCATCTCCCTGATCTTCTTCTCTGCGTCTTCCTTGGCAAGCGTCGTTCTTGCCTCCTCCGCCGCCTTGGTCCACGCTCTGACGCGAGCCCGCGCCTTCGCTGCCGCCTGGTCGCCTGAGGACATCAGGAAGGTCTCCAGCTCGATGGACTCGATCTGCCTCTGCCTCATGGCCAGGTTGAGGATGAGGCGCATCATGGCTGGGAAGAACTTCTGCATCTGCTTGACTTCGCACGTCTCGTTGTCGAGTTCGCTGAGATCCACGATCTCCGGATCTTTCTTCTTCGGGCCCTGGCTCCCGCCGCCGCCGTTTGCCACCTGCGCCGAAGAGCCTCGCTGTCCCCTGCGACGTTGCTTCTGGACGGGCGCGGGTTCCTCCTCTGCTGCGGGCAGCGCCTGCAACGACGACATTCGGAGTCGGCTGAGGAAGGTGTGCCGAGGATATGTGTTGCTGTAAGTCTTCGAGCGTGCCAAACTCGAGTGCGCACTCCTCCTCTGGGCAAACAAACTGCTGCGGGATGACAACAAGAAAGTTGAACGTGGACTTCTGTGCCATACATCTGCCATGACGGTACGCTGCTGTGATGTGGTTTATCGCCGTCCTACGACACGCAAGCGTTTAAGCGCACTGAGGACATTGGTTGGTAACAGTGTTTTTGGTGAACGTGCTCAGCTGACCGTGCACTCCCCCTCCACTGTGAGTTTGATGTGCCCGTAGTGCGTGCGCTGTCCCAAACCTCTTCCCGCACTCCAGACCGTCGCCATTGAGAAGAGAACAGAGATACCCTCCCTCGTAGCACGCCTGGTCCTCGTAGTGCCTGATGGGGGTCACCGTCGGGGCCTCTAACCAGAGCGTCCTCAAGCGTTTCAAGCTGAACTTCAGGAACTTGCCACTCAGCTCGGGGACCTGGAAGACCCTCAAGAAGTCGCACCCTACGGCGCCCAAAAAAGCTGGTCCGTCGTCGAGCCTCCCCAAGAGGAACAAGTCATTCTTAAACTGCAGGGCCCACTGGTTGGTTTTGTCTGTCGGGGTCACCGTAGGAGTCCACACTGGGGGCCATGCGAACAGTCGAGGCTCTGCGTTCTCAAACGCAACCTTCCCGAAGACTGCAGCGAGCTCCTGGACGTGGCGGTGCGGGTTGCGGACAAGAGCTGGATAATGTCGAAGCCGACGCACGACTATCTCCACGATGGGGGGCACCACCTTGATCTTCTTCCAGATGGCTTCCGCGCAGATCGTGGTGACCTTCCACCTCCCTTCCTCCCCCTCCTCGTTCAGCTGTCGATAGATTGCGATCCTTGACGCAGAGCGCTCGCGTAGCGGATAGCCGCCGAGCCGAGCTTCCTGGTCTGGTCCACGGTCGGCACTCTCGCCTCGAGGCCCGAGGCTGCGGCGCCAATCACCCGACTCTGAAAGACCAGCCTCTTCCGATCGAAAAGCGTGCAGACCCTCCAGAACTTGCCCATCCCTTTCCAGCCAATACGCATGGCTATGCATCTGGTCTTGGTTTCCTCTTCGTTTCGACCAGAGGTTTGGGTCCGAGCTCCCAGGAACACCGATGTCGCCTGAACTTCTCCAGATATGGGCACCCGATGGCAGTGCAGTGCTATGGTCGAACGTTGGGTTGGGATCCCCGACCTACAAAGCAAGGGCTGGCCGCCTTTTTTCCCCTTACTCTGGGCCAGTCCAACAGTCTCCAGCGCAGCATCGAGGTGCCGATCAGAGATCTCGACCATCACCGCTGCGCTGCAATCATCAGTAACCGCATGCGCGCAAGTAAGATGATCGGCATACTTGCGCACCCCAAGGTTGCAGGTCTTCTGCGTGATGGGGCAGCCTGCCGTCAGCTCGTGCACCGCAGAGGTCGGGAACAGCGCCCTCCTCCATTCCTGGGTCGGCTGCTCGAGCGCCCTCCTGAACTTCGTCGCGGCATCGGAGCCTCCCATGAAACAGCCAACTTTGTTGCGCAAGGTGCCCTCGCCATCGTGCGCATTCACTACACAAGCCGTACGCCTGTGCCGTGACATCATGATCTGCGTGTCCTCTGCCGTGTACATGTTTGTGACTGGCTGACCCAAAAGCTCGTGATCCACACTAGCGAAGGCATTCGTTATGTTGTGCTTCGTCGTGATGTGGCTCAGGTTCGCTGCTCGAAGACGCCACTGTAGGACATTTCCCACTACCGAGGCTCCAACGCGGGAACGACCTGAGACCTAGCCGTGATCTTCATGCGATAGCTCCAGATCTGCTCGTAGCTTCCGTGTTCCCACCCAGGCCTTGCCGAAGCTGCAGAGTCCGTGTAGCAAACGTGTACCTCGTGTCCTCGGTTTGTTGTTCAACTTGCTCACCTGATACGTCTGAGAGAGGTTCCGCCATGCATTCAGACGTTGATGCTGCCGTATCCCAGCCAGTTGTGCCAATAAGAGCTCTTGAAACAGGTCCGATAACTTGTTGCCTCTCTGCTCCAGGCTTGAGGGGTTCACGGCTTGACATTAATAGGCGCAAGCAATATCTCTGTTGGCAAGGACCACTGTGGTGAGGCGCGAGGCGCGGCGGCGGTGTCCACTGGAGAACTTCTCAATTAGTCGGTCCAGGTCGGTATTCGCCGCGGTCCAGTGCTCCATCTCGGGGTAGAATGGGTAGTCCACCTCAGAAGCCTGTGCGACGAAGGCATCTCGATCTACGCGTTCTGCCTCGAGCCCCCCTTCTCCTCCTGCAAGTGCCAGGTCCTCGGTCCAGGTCTGCAGGTCAGGTTGTGAGTCAGGGAACACGTATATGTTTCGTTTCCGTGGTCGTAGCCCGTTCCCCGCCATCTCAAAACACACTCGCCATGCCGGGTCTACCCGGTTAGTACGTAGTGCTGTCTTCAGCTTATCGGTGGGGTCAGCTTCGCGCTCAAGTCGAAGTCTGGATCGAGCCTCCCTACATCTTCTCGTGCACTGTCGGAGGTACCGTGCACCTCTCAAATTCCCCATCTAAATTATCTCGGGCTGCCGTTCGTGCACGGAGCGCCGCTTCTCGTTCACGTGCCATGCGAACGTACCACTCGGGTCTGTCTTTTCTGCTTGAGGCACAGCGTCTCTGAGCACAGCTTTGAAGTGTAGATGCCATTTACAGCCACGAAGATTCCAAGGTATGAGCTCGCATCCACGAAGCTGCCTCGGTGTAGCCGTTCGCGTTGAGCTTCGCCTCCAAAGCCTGCTCCACTTCATCGCGGAACCGTTGCGCCTCTTCCTCGCTCCTCATAGCTTGACTGAGTGTGAAGAAATCCCATATGTGGCCATCTATACGTGGCGCCGTGTACGTGAGCTTGAAATCGATCTCGGCAACGATGATCATGTGATCCAAAACTGCAACACTCGGTATCGCACGCACCCTTCGAGTGAGGCTGCATGCAATTGCACATTTCTGAACTCGAACCAACCAGGGCGACGATATGGCCAAGTGGTCAATATAGCGCGCACTTTTGTGTCCATGGTACGTGGGGCCACACGCGTAGAAGCTAGTGATAACCGCCATGTCGCTATCCTCCAGCCATTCTCGATAAGAGGTGCCTGCCAAGTGTTCCAGGCTGCGACCGAAGGGCCCGATGCTGGTGCTGTCCGTCTCCTGCAGCAGTCCATCACAAGATTGGATGTCCATGCCGTCGTTCAGATCTGTTGAAGCAATGATCAAGCTCCTGTTCGGCGTGCCCTCCGTAATGCCCATCAGCGTCTCGGTCAGTCAGCCTGCGCACCGTGGTCTCGTAGCGCGGAATGCCCTTGGCCTCCGTGCACCTCGGGGGGAAGTAACTCACGATCAGAGTGGTCGACTTGCGAGGACTTTACACGCATTGCTCCCAGTCGTCCATGTAGTGAACTCTGAACAGGCCAGAAGTGCTGTAGGTGGGAGCGTCGAAAGCGTCTCCGATTCAGCCAAATCTCCACTCCACAGCTTTTGTTGGCAAGACTCCCTCGGCCGCCTCCCCATCCAAACTTCAGCATCATGAAGTGATCGTGATAGAGCAGCTCATGGTAAGTGGGGTGGCCCCGATTCTTCCTGGCCATCGTACCGGAGAGAAGCGCAATATCTGCAAACTCCATCTGCTGCGCAACTTCCAGTCTCCTGTCATAGTCAGAGAGAGAGAGAGAGAGAGAGAGAGAGAGAGAGAGAGAGAGAGAGAGAGAGAGAGAGAAAAAGAGAAAGAGAAAGAGACAGAGAGAGAGAGAGAGAGAGAGAGAGAGAGAGAAAGGGCTCCACTGTAAAATTTTCATCAGATGGGCCGCGCATCGCAGCGCCGAAAGAAGGTACAAGGCAGCGCACGGGGGCGAACTGGCCCTCATGCCTCTGAGCCTCGGGCCAGTGCTTGATGATGATGATGATGCTGAGGGCGCTGATGCTGATGCTGCTGCTGATGGTGATGCTTATGATGATGATGATCTAGTGCTGGCATGCGGGCCGGATCAGCGCACGGGGCCTCGCCGTGGGCCTGGGCGGCGGGCGCGGCGGCGGCGGGTCCGGTAGCGTCGGCGCCGCGACCGCCCGCGCTCGGTTCGGCTCGCGCGCGGCCGCGCCGCGCGGCAGCGTCCTGGCCTGCAGCGCCGCGCTTCCGAGCCCCCGCCCCCCTGCGCTGGGCTGTCTCCGCGGCGGGGGGGGGGCGGCGCCCCGGGGCCGCCGTCGTGAGCAAGGAATGCGCTGTCGCCGCACGGCGCCGCGGCCGAGGGCCCGCCAGCGACGGGCGCGCCGCTCGAGCGATCCGCGCAGGCGTCGCAGAGTCAGCGCGCGCGCCCGCCTCCGCGGCCGCAGCCGCGGGCGCCGCAGGGCCAGCGCGGCAGCGCGCGACCCCCCTCGCGCCGCCCGCAGCCGCAACGGCGTCCGCGCCGTCGGCTGCTCTGAGGTCGGCATGCCCGAGCTGCAGCGCCTCGCCGGGCCAGCGCGCCGTCGACGCCGCAATCTCGTCGGCCAACCAAGCGCGACGCCGCCGCAAGCCGTCGGCAGCCCTGTTGCCATCGTTATCGTCAAAGCTGGTGCTGCCATCCCGCACGAAGCGGTTAGTGGCGAACCCATTGACCTTGGCGACGCGCGCGTGCTGGGGCGGGCACCGACGTCGTCCGCGGCCTGCCAAAACTCGCGTCGCACCTCCATGTACGGGCATGCTGGTGATAATGGCGATGATGAGGATGGTGGTGATGATGATGGTGATGGTGATTGTGATGGCGGTGGTGATGGTGGTGGTGATGATGATGCTTCTGATGCTGATGTTGATGATGAGGATGGTGCTGATGATGATGCTGATGATGATGGCGATGACGGTGACGAGGAGGCAGAGGAGGAAGAGGGCGATGACAATTCTGGACGTCTTTGGGCTGCCTTGGACTTCCTGGAGGCTTCTTGCCGCCACAGCCAAACTCTCGTCCAACTGAATTGCCGGGATCTCGCCGTGAAGCGGCGGCATCGGTACCGCTTCGCCTCGACAGGGGGGTGGGGGGGGGGGGGGGGGGGGGGGGG